CCCACACAGAGACCCCGAGACACTGAGATCAGAGTAAGAACATTTCGCCCTTTCCCAGAGTCACTTTCGCTTACTGATTTTATGAAGGGAAATGTCACAAGCTTTTTATGGAGATCATTTGTTTGCTCGGTTTTGCGGTTTGCATTATTTACATTTTATTGCCCTTACGTTCATGTAGCATGAGGGTTAAGGGGCATTTCACATTTGCACTAGCTTCTCCAATGTGTAACTTGGAGTACCAACTTGGACTTTGATGTATTTTGCAATGTAATGACGGCCAAAAGTCACCCTGAAGTTAATGATCAAGTCAGTTTGCCAGACAAATTTCTGAAGAGCTTAAATCCAACCCTATTATATAAAAGAGCGCAGAGAACTCAGAAGAGGACATTGCAGCTCGAGTGCATGCACCCTATGCAGCTTTTTATGCAGGTGAGTAATCTCAGTCTTTGTATTGATACATGTTCACATCTTTAACTTTCTGACATTTTAAACTAACTCTAAACCTCTTACTTTTGCAGTCATAAGCAGAGCAAAGATGAAGTTTGAGACCATCCTCGAGGAAATCGATGGGTTTGGGCGTTTCCAAATCGCCATCCTCATCCTGCTGTGCACCTCGCGGATGGTCCTCCCCTGTCACTTCTTACTAAATAACTTCATTGCTGCTGTGCCCCCTCACCACTGTGACATTAGCACGCTGGAGAAGTCTTCAGAAGAACTCTTCAGAAATTTAACTCGGGAGCAGAAACTGACTGTCAGCCTTCCTGTACGAGAAGATGGGGAGCCGAAATCCTGTGAGATGTTCGCAGAGCCTCAGTTTCAGCTTTTATCCAACAGCTCCAACCGCACTGACCTGCCCACAGTTTGGTGTCAGAGTGGATGGGTTTATGACAATTCCACCTTCATTTCCACGCTGGCCACAGAGGTACAGTAAAAATAGTGCACGACTAAAAACTAATATTGCAAAAAAAACAAACATGCACAGATGTGTGTGACATAAATTGACTGTCATGAAATTCAAATTTTATTTAAAAAAATATTGACCCTTACATTGGCCTGAATAGAAGAAACTAGTCTCTAAATGGATCAAATTAAATGATGCTTTCCTCTGTGGGTTTCTTTCCCAGTGGAACCTTGTCTGTGATAAAAAGAGCCAGACAAAAACCACAAACACAATATTCTTCGTTGGAGTTATGATCGGAGCCCTAGCTTTTGGATTCTTCTGTGATAAGTAAGCCAATTCTAGCAGTTCACTTTACGCTGGAGATGCATTTGTTTTTCCATTGTTCAATTTATCGTATAAGGAATAATAGTTGTGATAATTCTTTGGTCAAAACCACACTTAAAAAACATGACTGTACTTTTACATTTGTGAAACCCCTTTGAGGCCTTTGTAGGTTGTTATGGGAAAATGTACTTCCTGTGCTGTTTCCAGGTATGGGAGAAAAACCATGCTTCTGGTCTCTTACATTTTGTCGATCGTGTTCGGCTTCTCCAGCACATTTGCAAACTCCTACACACTGTTTGCAGTGCTGAGATTTTTCACTGGATTTTCACTGACAGGAATCAGCGTCATCTCAATAGTTCTCAGTAAATGACTTTTTTGCCTTCAAAAAATGTTAACACATCACATGTTGCGCCCCTAAAATCAG